AAATGACTGTTTTAAAAAAATGATGTTACAATTATGTTTAAAAAATGTTTTTAAAAATGTTTTTTTTTAAAAAAACGAATTTTTAAAAACAAATGTTTTTAAAAAATGTCCAGACGAATATTTAAAAAAAATTCTGTGGTATGTTTGTTTTCTGCGCATTAATTTTACGAACTCCTATGTATAACATTCTAAATCCAGCGATGCACTTTAACTGTTATGTATAATTTGATGCCTTATGTCCGGAAGATGAATTGCAACCATGAATTAGGGACACGAAAGTGCAGGCCGCGAAAAATGCTGTAACAATGGATCGGTGAAAGAATAATCTTTGTGCTCATGCGCACTCTTTTGCAGAATTTAAAGAAGATCGGTTCATGATGAGACTTTTAGTACACGTTAGTGCGTTTTAGCTTTCGGGGATTTCTTACAATTATACAGTAGGTTCCCAACCGGATGTTGTGCGCACAAATGATGCTCACCCCTTTGCATACAAATTATCTGGCTATATAATGTATTTCTATTAAGGGAAATGGCCCGGTACATGGTGTCGAAAATGGGATACATACACTAAAACTTTTGCTTTCGCGCACTCCGAACCACTTTTTTATAATACTTTATGTCATTCTAAAGCTTAATGATTGGTATACACTGTTCTAACAAAAGTTTGCGGGCCCAACATCCGGTTGCCGAGATAAGGCGTAATACAATGGGTGAAAAGTTTAAATGCATCGTTGTGTAAAAAAAGTCTGGTTTTCACTCGATCTTCTCGAAACTTTGATGCAAAACACACATGGTCATAAAGTCGAATGTGAACCAATTTCAGGTTCGTAGCATTTTCCCATAATTTTAAAATGGATTTTAAAAATTTTGAAATTCATTTTTAAATTGGAAAAAATGCTATGGATCTGATACTGGTTCACTTTTGACTTTATGATCATGAGTCTGTTGCAGCAAAGTTTAAAAAGAACGGGTAATAACTAGACTTTTGGTATAATACACCAATGCATTTAACTTTTCGCCCATTTTAGTTCGCCATATCTTGGCAACCGGATGTTGGGCGCGCAGACGGTTTTCGGAACAATGTATAAAATTGCCGATCATAACCGTAATTACTGCACAATAATTTACTGGTTAATTAGCTAATTCGGTCATTTTGCTAGGTGGCGCTGGCATCGAGCGGACCAAGCGCGCCTAACGGTCATCCAACGGTGGATACCATCAGTCGCCATCGTTCCCTCTTGGCTGAGTTGGCGCCGTACAGGTTAACCTGCAAATATTACTCTGCCGCAAAATTCTTCGGGTTGAACCGCGCCGCATTGCAGCAGGTAATCAGCATATCCAGCGGTGACTGTTTTGTGACCTTTTAGCAGTCTACGTTCTGTATTGACCTGACCATGCCAGTATAAGTGCAAAAAAGGTAAAAGGTGTTATGTGTACTACAGATAAGGCAATAAACGTTGAACTTACAGAGTAGATATTAATTCTTTCGGCGTACTGATCTTGCAGATGGCTGCGTACGTGCTGACGATCGTCTCGTTTATGTGGGCGCGCCGGGCAGCTCCCGCACTGGTCGCTCGTGCTGCAGTTGGCTGACACTAGGGACCGCTTCGCCGATGAACAACGTGGGAGAATATTATTTTGTCGCTGTCGTGAAACTAAAATAATTTAATCACGCAACTACAGGCATAATGCCTTGCAGTTGTATGAGTACTGCTTCTTGTTTGTTGTTTTCTTTTGAAAATCCTTTGAGGGCAATTTTAAACTTATCTTACAGTTTGGGGAGTAACGCCTTCACGTTGTCAATTACTAAATTACAGACTGTAGTCTAGACTTTAATTATTGTGACGGAATGATTTAACGAGCACGCTTGAAGCTGCTACTGTAGCTCTTTATAATTATTATACGGATCGCAAGTGCTTGTGTATTGTACGTCCTATGCGTGTTGTGGCAAATGAGTACTGTATACAATACCGTTATAAAACAAGTCAGTCCCTTCTCACGTTAATTGGGACAAATTCTTCATTTGATTATAACTGCTGAGCGAAGCTCACTTTGTACATATTGAGAAATAAATTCCATTAAACAAGTCAGTGTGATTGTGTTAATTTGGACGAGTTCTCTGCTGTACGTGTATAGTCGGTATAGTGTACACGTGATTTAACATTACGATTATTATTACTAATTATTCTGGGTTATTGGAAATAAATACTTGACATCTGCACCAAAAGCCTTTCCCAGTACTTACTTCTATGAAGGGAAATATTACTGTGGTACATTAAAAATGAAGATAATACTGATTAATCATTGCTGTTTAATATTCGGATCTCAGGAACACTCAGCACTGAAACAGTAAAAATGCTCGCACTTACAGGATAAGAAAAACGTACAATTAACGTGTACGTGTAAGAAACTCGATAGGCGTATCAACGGCCGTATGATCTCGATCGACCCTTTGGCGAACGTCGTCGTACGTGCACGTGTAGCGCGTCCCAGATTACATACAGAGTAGTGAGCTTTTGAGCGGTAGTACGTACACGGAGCGGGACTTTTAGCAATCGGTCGTACAACGACCACGAAAACAGCTAACAGTGTCGTTGGACGAGTAAGCATGGGTTATTACGAGGATGGCATCAAACGTACTTTGACGTCTGTATAATAAACTGGGTAACTGACTAACAAGGCTTATCCCCTGCGATTTGGTATCATCATGAACGAGCCCCGTTGGTCGGAGCGCTGTGCCGCCATGGCGTAGGCGCTGTCCGGCGCGGGCATGCCCCGCCCATATCCGTATCCGTAGGCGTAGTCCTCGGCGTAGTGTGGCTGGGGCGCCATCTGACGAGCGAAGCCAGGCAGATGCTCATACTGATTCGGATCAGGCTGGTTGTACTGTCACTGGGCGAGGCTGCCCTGGATGACCGCCACAACGCAAACGGCCAGCAAACACTCACGGACGCTTGGCATGCTCGGTTGGTCCAGCAACGGGAGAAGTAGCTGTATTGAAATCTAATTTGACTGTCAAGAACACCGGAATAATTAATATTCCTAGCTAGCCAACTGCCGTTTGTCGACGGTTTCCGGTTGCCAGGTGTCATTACAGTAATTCGGCGCCAATGCCACCGCACTTTTCGTCAATGTGACGATAAAATTTAATGTCGGTAACCCGGTTTAATAATCTACTTGCTATTTTCTTAATACCTTTACTCGCACAACTGGATTGCATAGTACATAGTACACACTCGTTCCTACTCAGTTGCTTACGTGAGTAATCACCCGGGTGGCAGAATAAAATGGCCCTCTTCGTTTTCGGTTAATTTCCCATGAACCACTGGTCGCATCGTGAACTGTTAAGACTCATTCTTTAAAACATTTTATTGACTACATAAAACAACAAAATATGTCTCGGGAAATAAACCGTACTTGCTAAAAATAATGCGAACTGAAATTGTACAAATAATTATTGTGGCCCAGCTCGCTGGAGTCAGAATCTCGTGGCAGTTCTTTCCAGTACGTGATATTTGAATAATTTTTTTCTGTTTCAGCAAAATATTCGCCTTATTTTTCAACTGATTAATTTTTGTTTGGCATGGCGCTTGCGGAGATTGAGCTATACGGTCAGCAAGTTTTGTGACGTTACGTTAGGGAAATTTTTTGGTTTTTGAAAGAACCAGTTTTTTATCTGTTTATTTTTCGCTGTTTTACTTAGGCCTTGTCCCGAATTCGAAGCGAATCTCGCTATAGTACGGTAGCTCAACCGCACGAGGTGGCTGTATGCAGTGGCCACGCCTACAGATACGATACGCAAAGCCACCTCGCGAGGTGGAGTTGCTGTATCGCAACGAGATTGACTTTGAATTCGGGACGAGGCCTTACTGTTTTTTTGCTGCGCGAAAGGCGGCAGCACGAAAGGCCGGATAAACTGGGCAGTCTAGCTAAGATATTGTCCTTACAGAAACGAGTTTGACCCAGAGCAGTTCCTCATGAATCGTTAAGAATTTTGTTTTCAAACGATCTGTTTGTGGATTTCGTGAGAATTGGAGGCGTAGGGTCTCAACTCTCCAGTGTCTTGGCCGAATACGGTCACTGTAAATTGGCAGTTCTAATCATTAAAACAACAAATAACGATCACTATATACGGTATATCCGAAATTGTAAGTCGATATTCACTAACCATTTTTCGGCTGAATAATAGGAAAGGGGTTAAGAATTAGGGAATTTAAGAATTTTCGTTCCGGGACATCCTCCAATACCGCCCGTTTCTTCAAAACAACTTACTCAAAATTCAAACATGTACAGAGTACATCATGAGGTACTCTACCTTGATTCAGTTGTTATTGCGGCCATTTAATTGGGGCAGCATTTATCAACGTACGGCATCAGTCTGCTTACACGCACTTGTTCACATTTTATTCCCCTGAACCTGCATAAATTTTTGATTACTGCGTACATTAATTTTTAATTAATCATCAGAACACGCGAAAATTACATGCAAGCAGTCGGATTGCATGTAATTTTCGCGTGTTCTGATGATTCTAAAAGTGTGGGCAAAACATTTTCTTAAGAGCAAAAAAAAAATGGCAGTAACGTGATGCCCCAATACAAACATCTGCTCGGATCGGATTACACTCATTACAGCATATGATCTCGAAGACAATGAACACTGCTGACAGATGGCGGGTCCTTCGTATGCCCCGTGAAATTGTATTCGACGGAGAAAATACTGTAAAACAATGAAGCGACGTGTATTTGCAATGGAATGATGGACCGGGTCAGGAAACGCGCCCGTAAACGCCAGACAGTGTCATTACACGCTAATTTTACGTTTTTGTATAAGTGCATATTTTTGTAGTGGAGCATTCTGACTGCCACAGTGTTCCCCAGATCTTTAAAAGTATAGCAGTATTTTTAATAATTTTGTAGTAATAGTGTAATTGTTTAGTACTCAGGAAGGCGGCAGAGAAGTCGTAGATTAGTCGTCCCAATTAACAAAACCAAAAGGACTCATAAATCTTCTTCTTATTGTATAAGTACTCGTGTGCGACATTTATACGGCGTGCTGTACGTGACACTTGTGATCCATAAACAGCTACAGTAGCAGCTTCAAGCGTACTCGTCATAATTATTCCGTCACAACAATTAACAATAATTAGAGGCATTAACAATTAAGCCAAAGCGTTATCTCCCAAGCTGTAAGGAAGTTTTAAAATGCCCTATAAGGATTTTCAAAGGACAACAGCAAACAAGAAGCGTATAATTACAAGGCATCATAGGTACGTTGGCAGAATAATTGCAGCTGCCGCGAAATCCCGCAGTGGAGAGGTGCGGTAAAAGGGCGGGCACGAAGCGATGTGGAGACGATGTCCTCCCGTGCTCGGCTGCGAAGCGGTCACTACTCACTGGCTTCCGACAGCAGCAGGAGGAGCGGCCGGTGCCGGCACTTCACGGCGCGCCCATATATTAATCGAGGCAATCATCACCACGTACGCAGCGTTCTGTATTGACCATATCAGAATAAGGGTAAACAAAAAAGTGACGTGTGGGAGTAGGATCACACGCCGGATGTACGTACGGATGCTGACTGTCCGCCTTCCACCTGCAACACAAACGGATAATCTAGTCAATCTCTTCTGTGATTTGCTGTTCTCTTTTACTAGCGGTGTATATGATGTCATAACGCGAAGTCTATATAAGTTCCTGTTACTCCTAATATCGACATCAGTAGTCTGAGATTTACTTCTGAGACTGCTTTCTAATTCCAATTTCCTAGCGTTGTGAACTGTGATGTGAATTGGATAAAGAGACAGCAATACTTGTTCCTTCTGATGTACATGGTCGCTCCCGGATTATTGCATAGAATACAGGTTTGCTCGTGACACAATCGTCCTAGCTCTTGCCGATCCTCACAGGACTTACGACCGGAAGTTGTGGTTAGCGGGTTCCTGAGGGATTCCTGAGTTCCTGTGTTCCTGATTCGTTCGTCTATTTCCACCGTGATTTATCTGTTACAGTTTGAGAGTACGAGGGCCTACCGACTGACATTTACAGGCGTGGAAGAGTAAAGATAGTTCATGGAGCTCTAACCAGCGTGAACGCTTATACACGACATGGCGCCCACCGGTGTCTTTTAATTTTCCCGATGTAACAGAAAATTATTGGTGGAAAGTTTGATGGTAATTTATTGGTAAAAAGTGGTCCCTTTTGAAAGGCGTCGAACCGCAAAGGTGCGCCGAAGGAGGTCAGCGCTCCTGATCTGGCCTAATTTAAATTATTTTTGGCGAGCTTCCTCGCAATTGTGAGCTTCCTCACTGGTGAGCTTCCTCGCCAATTAAATTAAAATTAATTAAATTGGACCGTAGGAATTTAACAGTCGAAACCTTAAAGGTCGGCTGTGTTAAAAATCAGTATTTTTGCGGATAGTTTCCGGGTTGTCTGCGCAAAGCAGTAACCGCGGCGAATAAAGCGTAATCAGCAGTGTCAGTGCACCTGGCCTGCAGATAGAGCAGATAATAGCACTGAGCCATTGTCAGTGGCCAGGTGAGATAACGATCTCCAGCAGACTGATAAAGGCAAGCCGCAAGCGGTAGCCAGAATCAGCAGCTAGAGAGAGTTGACCGTGAAAAAGGTAAACACCGGCAAACGGTGATTGACCTGTGAATTTAAAATTACTGCAGCACGCAAAGTGCAGCAGGGTAATTTTAGGGATTAGTTACAGCCGAAACCGCAAAGGTCGGCTGTTAGTAAACTGTCACTGAACAATTCAAACCTCAAAGGAGGATTTGGAAGTGATTGTTATTGCACAATAGCAATAACGGTATTCGTCGGAAACAGTAGCACAATCGCTGCTGTACTCCTGTTTTAGATAACCGCAAAGGTTAATCTTAAAAATTCAGTAAAATGTCAGGTGGTACAGTCGTAAAGACTCGTCCGCCACCGCGTAAAGTACCGGAAGATAAGGTCATAATTGGTGCATATGAAGGAGCACTAGCTCAGACCAGATTCCGATTTAAAACCAAAGAAATACCGTTGGCATTAATGTATTTAGCCCTGAATGTTGAACCACCAGAAGCACAAGATGCGTTCTGTGGAAAAGAGTGGGTGGAATATCAGGAAATTAAGCGGTTCATTAACCCAAAAACAAAGCAGCCAAAATATTACAAGACGTGGGTAGACCACGAAGAGTGTATCCCAGAAGCTTACCTGGACATCACTGATGAACAGTTCGCAAAAGCAGTTCAGGATGCGTATAAATGGCATGCTGGTTATGTGGAAAATTTGGGTAAGCGCAGGCAAGCAGCGCAAGCAGCTCATGTAGCAGCCAAAGCAACAGGAAAAACTCCAAAAAAGCAGGCCGCAAATGAACGGGTCACGCGTGGCACTAGGGAGAAAATTTCGGTCCAGGCGTCCGGTGCCCTGCTAGATGAACCCATATCGGAAACTCCGAGTGTGGCAGAGAGCCAAACGGAGCCCCAGTCTTCACAATCAGACAATAATCTGATAGCATTGTCTGGCATGGATAAAGCGGATGTATCTGAAGGATCTGAGTCAAAGACAGGCAAAGGCATTCGTGGCGGAACGATGACATTCCATCCAGCACAGATGAAACTCCACAGTTTTGTGTCCGAAAAGGATTTCGAACAACCTGATGAGGACTTCCTGGCTCAAGCTATGGAAGTAGATGAGCAGCTTGCAGCGGCTGAAACGGATCAGGATGTGGGATTGATCGCACGGAAAACCATGCCGGTGTTGCTTCAGGGCCTCCGTACCTTAATTGCGTCTACAAAATCAAAAGTTGATGAAATGGGTAACACTATGTCTTTGGACGCCCGTCTCGATGCGGAAAGAAATGAAAAGTTGAAGTTCCAAAATGACTATAACGAAATGCGTATCAAGTTCGAAAATGTTCTTTACACCATTCTTTTTGATGCACCGCACCGAGATGCGCTTACCGTTGAATAACTTCCTGCCATTCGAAGAGGATTTTGTGATCCCCGCCCATGTCTATGTACAGCAGATGCAACGTGGACTTGGTGAGGCTTTGAATTTAGTGAACGCAGAGGAGTTTCGCCATAAGCTTAAAGACAAAATTAGATATGATTCTAATGTATCTCATACTTCGTATAAAGCCGGAGATCAAGTCTTGGTGTACGTACTACACCGGAAAGTGGAGAAAAATCCATCCCTTATGCCCCGTTGGACTGCTGGATGGGAAATTGTTCGTCAGTCAGGGCCGGTGCACTATGTAGTGAAGAGTAATAGGCGTGGGAACGTCAAAACTGACACAGTCCACGTTAGCCGTTTAAAGCCGTATAATTTCCGCGACGTTGATACTATACTACAAGATGAGCACTTACCGAAGTTGCTTGACTGTGTGGAGAAGGAATGCCCTGATGAATTAGTTGAGGCACCCGCGCCGCCGCCGGTGATTCCGTCCGTTGACTCAGCATCGTCGCGTCTTGATGCTGAGTATGCTGAATATCTGGATAAACAGATGGAAGAAGTACCGCTTTTAAAGACTCGCTCCGGGCGTGTGGTTAAACCTGTTGAAAGACTGGTGAATCAAATGAACGACAAAAAGCGCAAAAGAGACCCGTCGGTTGGTGTTAAAAAGCGTATGGTTACAAATAATAGAGATCCGGCTATTCTGAGTGTATCCCAGCCGGGAGGGAGCCAATCGGAACCAGTTGAGCCGTTGGCCAGTGATTCCCCGCCCATTACCTGTAATGCAATGGAGATTGTGCCGGCGCAATCATCGAAGTCATCCCCAGTTACAGTAGAGGATAGAATTCTCCCAGCCCCGGCTTGGGCGCGTCCAATTGAGCAGTTCTGGCCCCAGGGCGTGATATCCGATGATGCCCTTGACAAACAGGAATTCGGGAAGTTTCGACAAATGGAGTGTAGTGATATGATGATCTGGGACGCAGTTGTCGATGGCGATTGTACCTTAGAGGAATCCCCGTATGCAGCTTGGCATCTTCCTCTTGTACTGAAAATAAAAGGCATTATTTGCCATTACGGTGAGAAGGAGGATATACTAAAAAGAATTCCAAAAATTCTGATCCCGTTTCAATGGCGCAAAATAGTAGCCGAGTCAGCACATCGCCGGCTTTTACACAAATATTGCAGTGCCATCTCTCCGTATGAATATTTATATAAAAACCTTCGGTTTTTCTGGCCTGAAATGAAGTCTGATTTAGCGAAATTTTGCCGGATCTGTACCTTATATAATCTGGATTAAATGGCCAAGCGGCCGTGTAAATATGTACATTTCTTTTATTTTTAAATTCTAAAGAATTGAAATTTTATGCTTTGATTTACTAGATTACCTGGAAAATTCCCAAATAAGTCGCCGTACGTACAAAGGTACTGAATATAGTCGCCATTGGCTAGATCGCGATGACGTAGAGTTTATTGCTCTTGCAGGGACATCTGCGGTGCTGAAACTGCTTAACGGTAGCTGTAAAAACGAAACTCGCACCGGTAAAATCAGTGTTATTCATTCGTCGTCCCTGATCTTGTGCGAGTTTGCTTTTTCTCTACACTGATTAAACGGCTGACAATGTCTGACATACCGCTGCAATGCATCGTCCGAAAGTACCGTCACATCCTTCCTATCAACATGAGGATACTACGAGTTCCACGGAAGATTCCGTGCAAGTTTTGGCAGACGTACAGCCGCCAGTGAATTCGGATCCTCATGTCGGATGGCCAGAGCCAACATTTGAATGGTCGATGCGCATGGTGGATTGTGGCATTCGGCCATCTCCGTATGATTATGCTCGTGGAGGAAAGAGTTACGTTCCTCCATCTGGTTTGATTCATTGCCCCTACAATCCAGACACTGATTATGTGGAATTACATCCGGAGAGTCGATTGCGCTTCCGTGGTAAGATCTATCAAAACGGCTCGGAAATGACGTTGGATAAATACAATCGCTATGTTCACACTTTGGATTTGTCAAACGATGCACACTATACACTGCTTCGTTACCTGAGAGTGGATTTCCGACAAGGATGGCTCATTGGGCAGATTGTCTGCATTCCGTCGGAACTACGGAATCAATGTTGTGCGTAATCCTATTGAGTTCCTCACTGCGTTGGATTAAGTTCCAGGAGAAATCGGAGACCGTGGTGCTGTCGTTACACTGGTGGATGCATACAATCAACATCTCCAGCTGGTCCCACAGGTTGAGCTGACATGATAATGTGCGGTGGTTATAAATAATCACGATCAAAATAAAAGAAAAGAAATCTAGTAACAACAGAAACAAAAACCCCGTCACCGCAAAGGATAAATATTGTAGGGTTCTTCAGGTTTTTATGGTTGAAATGAACAGCTGATATTTTCTGTGCTGCCGAACCGGCATTCTGTCGCTTGTCAGCCGCCCTAATATGGCAATACTATAGGAAACTGCGCAGTTTCCGGTCTGTGTTCTGAATATTTCCCAGCCGCGTGTTCTGGTTTTGGCCGTTTATCTCTCGGTCTTTCTTGTTCT